GGTAATCTTGTACACATAAGCAACATAATAAAATACGATTAAAAAATAAATAACCCTCACCATCCCTTCATACTTAAATAACCATTGTTTACTAAGAGCTGTAGCAATTTAGTGACTAGAAACAAGCTAAAATGTTGGTTGCACGCTTCTATTCACTAACATGTGGCTGTCCCTGTTTGTCTTGTAGTTCCCCATCTTCCGACTGTTGAAAGTAAAACTAATGAAGAAATCAATGAAATAGACTACTTTGGCAATGTTTCTTGAATTTCATGATACTTTTAGGTCTCTCTTGTTTGGATTGTGAGTTCACGTGTATGTTGATGGGAGTAGGTAATCAGAAGTAAAAACAGAATTGTGGAGAAGTAAAAGTCAAAAATATAAGCTGAAGTTTTAGGATTAGTAGACAGAATAAAAAGGAAAAACTGGACTCTGGTCTGCGATTTGCTAGTAGTCAGCTAATCAAATTGGGCAACTATTTTATCCTGCAGAATCATATTTCCTTCACTTATAAATTGAATTAGTGGCAACACTGAAGTATAACTTGTCAAAAAGTTAAAAACATCACTCATGTAAATAATCAGATATCAATTTCATTTAACTCATTAATTGAATAAGGTAATCAGTAAAAGATGAATTTGAAAACTGTACACATATCTAGACAAGTAGTAATGCCAAAATAAATTTGCTAATAGAAGCAAACTAATGAACATCCTATAGGGAAATAAATGTATTATTTGAGGTAATCTTTTCTTTAGGATGCAAATCAACTGGACAAATTAATATGTATTATTGAGTAAAAGAATTATTTGCCTGTCTATACAACTTCTACCCCTGCAGAGTTGGCGACATTCAATTTTTTCAATATTTTTATGCTTTCTAGCTAAAAAATGACAAACTTGGAACTTATGATCACTAAACTTCAAAAACCTGTAACTTAAAACATGCTATATAATCTGTGAAAAAATGAGATAAAGAAAATGACATAATAGAAGTTTAGAACTGAAGATGTAAAATATAATATCAGGAAGGTAACTATTTCCCTTAACATCACAGTATCATTACTATTCACAATCGGCATTGAATACAAGATGTCATATTTGAATTCTCAGGAAGAGAAAGAACAAGAGAGAAAAAAGGTTGCCTGAATCAAGAAAACAAAAAAAAGTAACCAGAAATTCTCATTGCACTTTTGGTCTCATCTTGCTAATCATCACTGTATAACTTAGTCACGCATTGCCGCAATGTGGCTGAAACTTGTTTCTTACAGGTACCCATTTCCTCTTCAAGGAAACTGGGGTTATGTTAATGAGAAAAAGTGGAATTGGTTATAGTATGTACACCTTCAGCCACATAATCCAGAATTAAGATGAGAGAGCATAATCTTCAAATATGAAAGATCATAGGATTATAGAGGAGGGAAACTCTACTCTCTGAGAGTTTGATAATTGAGTCTATGAAATAAACTGACAGTAGACAGATTGACAGGAAAAAAGGTATACCCTTTTATTCATACACGGGAGCCTCACATGAAAGAAAAGTATGTATAGAAAAACTCAGTGAGATCTAGAAGCTTACATCCCCTCTTCATTAGGGAGAGTGGAAGGGAGAGGTAGGCAATTTAGACGAGAGTAAATGATTTTTGAGAAAGATGAAGGAGCCCTCAAAAGAACAGGTGACAGCCTGTGACAAATTCTGTCTAGGCATGACGTCACCTCCAGTTTCTTCTCCTCTTATCTGAGTTAACATTTCCTAACCATCTGGGTGGATGAGGTTCCTGGGGAGGGGTTTCATGACAATTGTGCTCCTTTTGGGCAATCTGTCTTTAGGCAAATTAAAGGAGTTCAGAGAAAGTTCCTTCCTGCATTTGCTGTTCCCCAAGTGCCCTCAGTTTCCATTAGTCAGCAAACTCAAGCAGCATATTTTGTGGTGGCATTTCCTGATCTCCTTTAGTAGAAATATTTTTCACAGTAATATTTGGAGATTCTATCATTCATTGATCAAAAAAAATTGGTAGATTGTTAATGTCTTTTTAAAAATTTATTATTAAGAGTTATTTTTTTTTTTCTGTTCAAATTTCTTACACTTGCTGCCATGTGTAAGTCATGGGAGCTACTTGAAAAAGGAGTATAAGAAAGACTTACTAATCATTAAATTCCAGCAATTTGTTTTTGAGATGAAGTCTCGCTCTTGTTGCACAGGCTGGAGTGCAATGACTCGATCTCAGCTCACTGCAACTTCCACCTCCTGGGTTCAAGCGATTGTCCTGCCTCAGCCTCCAGAGTAGCTGGGATTACAGGTACTTGTCATCACGCTTGGCTAATTTTTGTATTTTTAGTAGAGATAGGGTTTCACCATGTTGACCAGACTGGTCTTGAACTCCTGAACTCAGGTGACCTGCCCACCTCAGCCTCCCAAAGTGCTGGGATTACAGGCATGAGCCACTGCACCCAGACAAATTAGAGCAATTTTGTGGGCATTTTATATACTTTGTCGTATTGTGTCTTTACAACAAATGTACGAAGTAAAAAGTAGAATACAATATAAGATTAAGAAGATGGTATTATTTGCGTTTCAAAGTCTTTCTGACTTTGTGACTTAGCATCCTTACACCATCCTTCTATATCAAATATGGTGTTTATTGAGAGAAAAAAAAAAAAAGATGGGGCGGAAACTTGTGCTGATGTATTTACTTCCAAGAATAATTGTTGATGCTTTGTCACTCTTTGGCATGTTAAGACCTTCATTGTGTACAATTTTACAAAAGGTGGAGAAGAGAAGTGTCAGAATAGGCACAATTAGCTAAAGTACTGATTAGAAACAAGCTTCAGGAAATTTATGTGCTTCAACTGTTCATATAAGCTTAAGCATCTCAATAATTCAGAACACTGGAATACATGCTTGCTCTACCATTGATACTCTAGTGAGACAATAGCATTTTAAGCTGTGTTGTCATTCATTTGTATTTGAGCAAGTACATTACTCTGACAAATCAGTAGTCACAATAGTTTATTCCTATAACTTAGTATTGTAATGGTAGCAAATGGTGCCTATTCAGCATAATTTTCTTATCTTATCACTCTTGGAAGCCATAAGCCTGTTATGTAGAAATACAACACAAAGCAACTGCCAAAAAATCTGGGTGCATGTGTGTGTATCTGTGTGTGTGTGAGAGAGAGAGTGTGTGTGCATGTGTGTGTGGGCATGGGAGTGATACATTGTGTACATAGCCCACATATGTTTGTGCAGCTGTGATGTTTGAGTAACATACCACTTGGCATGTGGAATGTGTACAGAAGAGGGTGAGTACCTTTCTTTAGAATACTAATTACTGATAAAACATGATTACCATTTCCTGGAAGCCATGTTGAAGTTGAGAGTGCCAGATTTAAAACAAAAAAAGCAAACAAGCAAGCAAAAACAGATTATCTGTTTCCTCTCATTGCACTGCTACCAAGCAGACCTTAAAATTCCAGTAAAATGTTGTAAGATGATTTGAGTGAAATGCTGTGAAAATGCTGACACATAACAAAAGGATGGAGTTATTATAATAATTAAATTAGTTAATAATTTCAAGGAATTTAGCACCTGGTGTTTGATAAATTAAATGAAATTATTCAGTTTACTGAATTTCATGATAATTTTTTTTAAGTTAAGACTCTCAGACCTTTCTATGTATTGGACTATGGGCTTAGCCAGAACCCTTGAGAGACAACTTCTGACTTCATGCTCTTGGGCTTCATAGTCATGATGAAATATGTGTTCCTTTTAGTCATCTTCACTGTAAAACTTTCTTTTTTGAAATCTCACTTTTAGACCTAAAGAAAACAGAGCTTAGTGCTCTCAAGAGCTCTTCGGGGTTCAATATTTTACTTAGCTTGAAACAGTCTGCCATATTTTCATGGATGTTTATAGAAGACACAAAACTCCTGGGTCAGAGATGAAAGACAGTTTATTACTTATAGCACTAATTACAGAGTAGCACCAATTTTCAGCGAATTCACAAAGATCTAATTTTCACAAGTGACACAAATAGGACCAGAAGATACCAGAGCACAAAAAGAATTAAATTACCAAAAATGATTATTAAGTTTAGACAACAATAATTCTTTAAAATGGATGGTAAGTATGATGGTGCTATACTCCAACAGGAAGCACTGTCTTTATTATAAAAACTCTCAGTAAACTAAGAAAAAAAAAGAAACTTTCTTCACCTGATAAATGAAAAATTACAGAAACCTTTACTCAATGTGATATTTAATAATTAAAAACTAAATGTCTTTCCCCCTAGAATCAGAGGTTCTGGAACATGTACTGGACATTCTAGCTAAGCAATAAAGCAAAACAAAGAAATTAAAACTGTCCTAATTGTAAAGGAAGAAGCGAAACTGTATTGACACATGACATAATTTCCTATATACAAAGCTACAAGAAGTATTAAGTGTTTTTAGCAAGACTATAGGATTATAGATTAATATAAAAATAATTGTAATCCTGTCTATTAGCAACAAACAATTGCAAATTAAAATTTTGATAAAAGATATGTACAATAAAAAATAAAAGAACTATATTCATTAACCTGACAGAAGATGTACAAGACCAGTACACTGTAAGCTGTCAAATATTACTGAGATAAATAAGATAAATAAATGGAGAGACATACTTCTTAACAGGTAAAAATTTTCAATATTATAAGAAGCTTTTTGTGATAACACATGTAGTACTCCAAAAATATTACATGAAGCTACCTAGTATCAATGTATAAAATGTTGATATTTTAGGACATATAGTTTCCTTTTAAATTCTAGCAGCAATAATTAAACTAGTTATATTCAAACTGAATCTATGATATTATAGACAAGACACTAATCAAGTTTTATTTACCTGGATTTTAGAAATTTCAAAAATTATCTAAATTTCATATTAACACATAATTGTAAAATAAATTCTAAGGTCATATAAATTAGAAAAATAATATTTAATTATATATCAATGTCTTTTAAAATCTTTCTTTTAACTGATCTCTTTAATTATTAATCTATAAATATACTATGTCAAATACAGAAAATTGAAACCCTAATATCATTGTTCAATAGATTCTTCCAATTCAAACCATTTGATAAAATATATGAACTAGCTTTCATAGCCTGAGCTATTCCTAGGGTATGTGGGGCTCAGGGCAAATATTTTTTTGTGTGTATGGGATTCCTATATATATATATAATTTGATTTAAAAGGGACTTATAAAATTCATGGGCTCATTAAGGTATAGTGACTTATTGATTATTATTTATAATTAAAAAAGAAAGAAAGCTTACATTATTCATTATTGACCAGTCAATAATGACTCTTCATAGTGTCCAGGAACCATCTCTATCTGTAATAATAATCAAAATAATGCACTGTTTCTAGCTAATTTCACTAACGGCAATAAGAGGCAGCAACACTGTTATAAATCACAATGCCATAACTCTGGACATTTTTGCCTCTGCATTTCTCTAGTACTGTTTACTTAATGCTGGTTACCTCATGGCTCATGACACTGCACCATCCACTGAGCCACCCATGAGCACTGGTTTCTAATGACTGTCTCAAGTATTGTCACTGTTCTTTGTTGATAATGACTTTGAATGCAAGTTTTACCCAGGGTGTGCAGAAAAATATAAATGATGCACCCCTGTCTTCCACATATTGCCACTAGTAGGGAGGAAAGATGAGAAGTCCATGGTCAGAGTGAAAGTGTTACATCTGTGTAAGGAATGTCTATTCCATTTATAACATCAGAGAGAGTACATTAGTACTCTCTTGATTAGGGGCAAAAAAGTGCAAGAATCGAAAGACCTGTTCAGATTGGGTAGAGTTCACCAAAGCTCTTGGAGAGAAAGGCATGGCCATCCATGGAGGACTCCCTGAACCGAACATGACATTAACAGAAGAGTGGAATGACCACCTATATGTCAGAAGTAGGGGAAACACAGCATAAATAATATCTGCCACAAAAATTGCTGCCTTAGAGGGCTATAGACTAGATGTGCTAGCACAGATTAATGAAAGCTGAAACATTGGTCCATACTACATGAAGAGTGGACCAAGCTCAGAGCCTTGAACCTTTCTTATTATGGAGAGGTTTTTATTGCATAACATATATGAGTGAGAAAAAATCATCTTCTTCACGCCATTTTGGTGGATGGATCTCACATGGTCTTTTAAAGAAAATACTACACTGACAATCTGGGAGGTTCCAGACTTTCCTCTTAGAACTGAGAACTGGCCACAGGTCCTGGGATGACTATGGATATGAGTTTCTGATAGGGACATCTAGTGGAACCCAAGAATGAGATCTCAAAAGGTCTGAATCCAGGCTTACTGGCCCTGTTCCTACAACACTATCAGATCAGGCCACTCCTGGCCATCAAAGTGGGACTTCAAAAATTTAAGGAAGGCACTCCCCTTGTATGGGCTCCTAAAGCTTGAATCCTGAGGTAGGTCTCTTCTTGTCAAGGCCTAATGGCAGTGCTGTTCACAGCAATCTGGAGAGGAAAAATCTGCAAGATGAAGGGGTTTTGTATCAATAAGGGGTAGTAAATTACTCAAAATTAAGACAAAATAAAGATTTTCTTAAACAAATTCTTTAAACTTGAGAAACATTAACTGTGGAACAACAAAAGGAAATCCAAGAAAATGATATATGTTCAAATACTTTAAAAATACTAATATTTAAAGATCAATAATAATGCTAAATTGAGATCAGCAAACATAATTGTAGTTCCAGGACAAACATTTTTAAAGCATTACAAGATTATAGAGGTGAAGAGGAAGTACCACTAGTGTAATCCCTTTCAGGCATAGCAAAAAACTACTGAACCCTTCGGTGATGCTAAGAGTATGTTTATAAGTCTGCTTCCCAGTCCAGCTCACATTGTGTTTTACAAAACCTTATCAGAAGTGAAGTGGTTTTAATAACTGAGTATCCCATCTTGTGTACATTGCTTCAGTGTTAATTTTGCTGCTCAAATTCCTACTTTTAGGTATGGAGTCTTAACACTATGGTTTACTTTTTCCTTTTCAAACTTTGCTCTCGGTAAAAAATCTAAAGTCTATGTTTAAAAATGAGTTTGAATTATGCCAACATTTCATAGGCATTTACCTGTTCAATGCTGTCTCTATCGGTGGAATTAAAGTGTTTATTTAATAGAACAAGGATTTCATATGTGAAGAAGCAGGTAAACCAGAGATTGTGGGGGAAGAGGCATTGTGACTGCTGAAATCACACCATGTAGACAGTGTAACATCCTTCTCAGGGATTATGTCTACAGATCATTGTGTAAAATAGTTAATAAGATGTTTATAATTGGGCTTTAATACAGGTTTCCATCGTCTATCTGTTTCAAGACCTTATTAACACGATAGTAAAAATAATGAAAATGTATAAATCCACAGTATTAAAGAAAACAGAAGAAGCAGAAAAGAAGCCACAATAATAAGAGATTTCAACATCTTTTTTCAAAATTAAAAGCAGATGGGGTGGGAGAGTGATAACTGATGAAGCAGCGCTGAGAGACCCTTAGGCCTTGTGTGCCAACAGAGCAGGATGTCGATGGTAAGGCAGCCAATGTGCCCTCAAAACACAGCAGAGACTAGGGCCTTAGAGCAAGTAGAGATCTGAACTGAGGCACAGAACTGAAAAAATGGGGGTAAGGTAGAATACACCATGACTACTATTACCACATCAAACACAGAGAATAGCAGTAGGAAGACTTTGTCTTCTGGGAAATAAACATGAGAAATAGTCTCATGTTAAATATTTCCAGAAAAAAAAGGCATCTGAAGTTTTATATTCAGAAATCTCCAATATAATTGCTGGCATATTACTGGTCACTCTTAAGCAAAGACTCCCATCAATACAAACAAAACTGCCAATCTATGTTAGAGGCATTGCTTTTAAATATCAATTTACAATCAACTATGTCTGCCCAGTTGAGGTAATTTTCCAATATAAGCAATAGAGGATAAAATAAACAGAAAACACAGAAATAATGGAAATAAGGCAAGAAGGCAATAATGAATTATATTTTTATCTGACAAATTAATGCCACATATATGTGCTAATTAGATAAATAAATATGTTTGTGTGTGTGTGTATATATATATACATTTATGTGTGGTGTGTGCATCAGTGTTCCCCAAAACAATTCCCAGGTCTAGGATAACTCACAGGACTCTGAATACAGGCTTTCTCATGGTTATGACTTATTAGAGTGAAAGGATACATAACAAAATCAGCAAGGGAAGGTACACAAAGTCTGGATGAAACCAGATGCAGACTTGCAAGAGACTCTCCCAGTGGAATCATACAGGATGTATTTAATTCCCCAACCAATAAGTCGTAAAAACATGTAATAAATGCTACTCATCATTTCTGGGTGTGGTGGGGGCCTTTCTGAAATCCAGTTTCCTAGATTCCAGTCAAGGGCCAATCTGGCAAAAAAGAGCCTTCTAAACATAGCAATCTGTTACATTAAAACTTTTTTTACAAAATGTACTTACATAGAAAATAAAATAAATTTTCAAAGAAATAAAAAATTCTTAAAGCACATTCATTTATTCCACAAATGTTGGCTGAAGGCTTTCTAGGCTTACCAGTATCTTAGGCATGTGGAAATAAAAGACCGTTGACATCATGATTATTACATTTTAGTACAGTAAAGAAATGAATAAAATAAACGACTGAATTGTCTAAAATATGAGAACATGAAAGTGCTATGGAAAAAAATGTAAAGCAAGGCACAGAAAAGCTGAGCTGTATAAGAGAAGTTTATAGCATTAAATAAAGCAGTTAGAATTAACCTCCCTGAGAAGGTGAAATTTGATTGAAGGCTTAAATTTTAACAAAGTTAAAGACAGAGATTAAACACTGGATTTAGAACCACGGAGAATCCTGATGACCTCATGGGAGCATTTTCAGAGGACTGTAGGAGGCAAAAACTTCACTGAATTTAGAAAAGAATGTAGTTTCAGTTCTGGTGAAGACAGAGTAAGCATAGGCTACCCTGTTTATCCCACTGAATGTAGCTAGGAAACCTGGTGATGCACAAAGCACCCAATCTGCTCTTACTGCTGAAAAGTAAATAGTAGCAGTCAGGTTGGTGTTCCAGTAGTGAGTTTACTTTTTTCCTTCATTATCCTCCAGCCTACACTCAGTACATAATAAATAAATTTTGATTGAGTAAATGAATGAATGATTGAAATAAATAACTACCACTTATGATTATATAACCAATGTGCAATTAATGCTTTTGTTTAAATTTCTTCCATTAAAAGATAATTGTTCTCTTCTACTATTTTTCACATTAAAATCAATTCATCTATTGAAAATATCTGTCTTGTAAATACCAGAATGAAGTTCAAAATATCCACATTTATTCTTTCAGGCATTTTCCCTCATATATCATGAGTCCTACCAAAGTTCACAGCCTCTGAAACTCTTTTTTTTTTTTTTTTTTTTTGAGACAGAGTCTCACTCTGTCACCCAGGTAGGAGTGCAGTGACACAGTCTTGACTCACTGCAACCTCCTCCTCCCAGGTTCAAGTGATTATCCTGTCTCAGCCTCCCCAGTAACTGGGATTACAGGTGCAAGCCATTGTGCCTGGCTAATTTTGTATTTTTAGTAAAGATGGAGTTTCACCATGTTGGCCAGGCTGGTCTTGAACTCCGGACCTCAAATGATCCACATACCTTGGCCTCCCAAAGTGCTGGGATTGCGGGCATGAGCCAATGTGCCTGGCCTTCTGAATCTTTTAATAAGAATTATTTTAATTTTAGTTTGCTCTCATTTCATCCACTTATTTTTTCTTTATATTAAATTAATTCTCACACTGCTGTAAAGAACTACTTGAGACTGGGTAATTTATGAAGAAAAGAGCTTTAATAGACTCAGTCCTGCAGGCTGTACAGGAAGCATGGCTCGGAGGCCTCATGAAACTTACAATCATGGCAGAAGGGCAAAGGAGAAGCAAACACGTTTTCACTTGGAAACAAGAGAGAAAGAAAGCACACAAAGGCAGAGGTGCTACATACTTTCAAACAACCAGATCTTGTGAGAGCTCTATGACAAGACAGCACTAGGGGGATGGTGCTAAACCATTAGAAACCACCCCCATGATTCAATCACTTTGCTCCAGGCTCCGCCTTTAACACTCAAGATCACAATTCAATGTGAGATTTGGGTGGGAACACAGAGCCAAACCATATGACTATTTTATTCCTTTCTATCTCTAATTTCAGTCAAAATGTTGTAGTTTCTCTCAAATCACAGTCTTTTCAACAGGACATGAAAGAAAAGCAAAAGCAGATAAAAGTCATTTTGAAAGAGAGAGAAATCTGTTCTCATCTTCTTTTTTGGGGTCCTTGTGAGGCATTAATAGTAGGGATCCTCTCAAAGCTGAAGAGTAGCTATCTCCTTAAACTCCAGCGCAGAAGTCACAACACAACAGAAATCCTCTGCAGGGGAACATAAATCCAGGTTCTCTATTTTATGTGGCACCTAATAAATTGAATATACTATATATATATTGTTTCTAACTCCTCCAATAACTCTGATGAGTAATTTTTTACAGTTTATACATGAAGAACTAAAACTCAGAGGGATTAATTCATCTAGTCATGCACCTAGAAAGTCACAGAGCTAAAATTTGAATTCAGACTTTTTTGATTATTCAATTATTTCATTCTGACTAATCATCTACAATATTCAAACAATATCACTCTCATTGTTTTTCCCTCAAGATTCTCTGAAATAATATGCCAGAAGATGAAAACTGGGGACACTATAATTTTATTGAATGTTTTACTGTGCCATACTCTGGTTTCCCCAGCCCAGGAAAATGCCTTTTCAATAGAAAGGTTAAGAGAGAAATGGTGTCTCTCTATGATGTCAAAACACCAGGAAAGAGCAGAAATACTGTAAAATGAGAAACAAAGGAACAAACTATTATATGCCTATTATGTATATTTTATATCAGGGGAACCTGCCCCCAGTGTTTCAATGTAGGTTCTTTCTATTTTCCATAAGTGTCAACTGGTCTGAGAAATAAAGAGAAAGGGTACAAAGAGAGAAATTTTACACCTGGCCGCCTGGCGTGACATCACATATCAGTAGGACTGTGATGCCCACGTGAGTCTTAAAGCCAGCAAGTTTTATTAAGGATTTCAAAAGGGGAGGGAGTGCAAGAACACATAGTAGGTCACAAGATCACTTGCTTCAAACAGCAAAAAGGAGAACAAAGATCACATGCTTCTGAGGAAACAGGACAAGGGCAAATTCAGAACTACTGGTAAGGGTCTATATTCAGCTGTGCAGGTATTGTCTTCATAAACATGAAAACAGGGTTCTAGAGCAGAGAACCAGTCTGACCTCAGATTTACCAGGGTCGGGGTTTTTCCTCACCCTAATAAGCCTGAGGGCACTGCGGGAGACTAGGGCATATTTCAGTCCTTATCTCAACCAGATAAGACAGACACTCCCAAAGTGGCCGTACATAGACC